TAAGTACATGATTTTCCTCTAAAAAAAGTTGTTTAATATAATGCTTAAAGACTTACAAATAAAAAAAAATCACTCATACGTGTACAATGTCTATTGTACTTACATTGTTCTAGATTTTAATATAATATTTTTTTTGTAATCTACCTTAAATAAACATTGTTTTCATTATAATATCAACAAAGTTTAGCGAGAATTTTAAAATTAATATCAAATTAAATACATAATAACGTTCATTTAGTTATTCTAAAATGTTGATTTAACAAACTTATTACCATTCCCAAAACCCAATAACCGTCGCGAAAACCTCAAAAGTATAACAAAAAATATTCAAAACAAACATTACAACGTAATCATAACAAATCATTTTTATGATAATATGCTAATATCCGCGGTCCGGATATGTTCGGATATTGATTCGCGGTTCCGAACACGTCATCATGGTAACTGTTACAGCACTAGTGCCACATAGTAAATAATATGCAGAAGGTTTATTTTATTTATTATTTTTAGGATGACTCGTATTGTCAAATACTCTTGACAAGATTTTCGGTCTAGATGCTGCAAGTAGCATTGCTGACATAAGAATGTCGAGATCGAGAACTAATAAAAACTCGGTTTTCAAAAATTTTGGAAATCATCTTTTTTTGGGGAGGGATAATCATCTCTCGCCCCGTTCCTTCTCCTCCTGCTCCAAGCCGAGGCCGCGGTTTATCATTGCGCTTTCTTCGCCACCCAGTTTGAACATTGGACGAAAATGTTGTTTTCTAAATTTATAGTCACTGAGCATAATATAGTCATATGGTCCTAAGTAACGTAGTCACGACCTGAGAATCAAACTCTTAACTTGGCTTGCAACATCTTGATCAACAACACAGTAATTTCAGTTCACTATTTAATCTAATAAAAATATGGTTAAGATACAACCCTTTTTTTTTTTTTTTTTTTTTGTCAGGGGAAAATCATCCAATGACTTCTCCCGCCCAGGGTAAGGCGAGAGAGAGTGTCAGACTCTTACTGACTAAAAACCCCCCGTTCCTTCTCCTGCTCTGGGCCGAGGTCGCGGTGCCTCATTGCGCTTACCCCGCAGCCCCGGCTAAACATCAGCCCTTTAGGGCCCCGACTGTGGTGGTCTATTGGCTCTTTGAGGCGCGCGCGGAACGCTACGCGCCGTACGCTCGGGTCCAGTTCTGGTCGGGCGGCGAGCTACCCTTGCTCGCCGTCCGCAGACCCGCGCTTACGGTGGCCGGAGATCATCCCTCGATCCCCGACGTCCGGAATGTCGCCTTCTGCGGCGGCTGGGGCGCGAGGAGGATAGTTCCCTCACGCGCTCCGCCTCCTCCTTTGCGAGCATAACTGCTTCGCAGAAGGAGGAGATAGCTTCCCAGTTCCTCTCACGCTGCACCATGGCCTCGATTAAGGCCGGGCGCGAGAGGTCGCCGCCGCCGATCACTTCCCTGAGAACACGGCGGTGCTCAGCCCAAGCAGGGCACTCCGCCACCGTATGCTCCACCGTGTCCTCCAGGTGATCCTCACAATGACGACACTCGGGCGTTTCCTCCCGCTGGATCCGAAACAGGAACCTACCAAAGCTGCCGTGCCCGGTAAGCACCTGCGTCAGGCGGAAGGTGAGGACGCCGTGGCGTCTCTCAAGCCACTCCTCAAAGAGGGGTCTTACCGCTGCTATAGTAGCGTGCCCGGCCCTCAGTTGCGACAGTCGCTGCTTCCACTCAGCCATGAGATCTCGCCGGAGCTCATTCCGCCACGCACTAATTTGGCGCGGCAGAGGATCCTCGCCCCGGCGACGCGCGTCTGCGCGCAAACTGTAGACGCGCGCGAGCGCCTTCGCTTCCAGATCCCATGGCGGTGATCCGGCAAGGAGGTTCGCCGCCTCCCCGGAGATCGTGCGATAAGATACAACCCTATCAAGTTTGCCATGACATCCAATTTACAATGACACACTGAAATGTTTGAACGGATGTGGGATTCCCATTGAAATTCCCATTCTGCCCATATATTCCCATTACACACAAACATCTATCCATTCGTAATGTCGTCTCGGTTTCGATGGCCCATTTCCCATTCATCGGATAGTACCTACCATAAGGCTTTGAGCGATTTAAACCTATACAGTATGTTCATAAATCATTTGGTTGTACCTTGTTTTAATTGTGAATTTTCTTTTAATGGAATATAATTTTCAAATGATTAGGTAGGTATAAAAGATTGATTGAGGATATTATACTTACTTCTACATATAGAGCCCGTAGCTCTGATTCCAGCGACGCGTAGCGTTCCGCGCGCGCCTCAAAGAGCCAATAGACCACCACAGACGGGGCCCTATAAGGCTGATGTTCAGCCGGGGTTGCGGGGAAAGCGCAATGAGGCACAGCGACCTCGGTCCAGAGCAGGAGAAGGAACAGGGGGGTTTTTAGTCATTAAGAGTCTGACACTCCCTCCCGCCCGGCCCTGGGCGGGAGAAGTCATTTGATGATTTTCCCCTCCCAAAAAACAAAAAAAGGTCTGATTCCAGCGCAGTAATCTACCGTAGCCTCGCTTAGAACAGAAAAAGAAACTCCGTGGCTTTTAGATAGTAAGAGTATGATACTCTAAGAAGTCTCGACTCATTTAGCGCGGCAGAAGTTATTTTATGATTCTCCCCACTTAATAAAGCGGCTTTTACGAAGTAAGTACAAAGTCCGTGGTTTATGTGATATGATACTTTTTTTAAAGACCTTGTGCAACATTTTTTAGTTACTTTACTTTTTTAGTTTTTTTGATACTTAAAAGCAAGTGCGTATAGGCAATCGTAGTGTAGAGCGCTCTCCTGCTAGGTGGACTGACGATATCCGCAAGTGGGCTGGTGGTGGTTGGATAAGAAGAACTGAACATCAAGCTCAGTGGCGTGCAATTGGGGAGGCCAATGTCTAGCAGTGGAAGGAATCAGGCTGATGATGATAATAATGATTAAAAAAGTAATGAACCTTCTTTTAAATACCCTGTATAATCCAGGTATTGTACTCGACGCTTCATACTCGAAAGTCGAAATTCGAACTTGCAATGTTCCAATCAAAGAACAATTGTGATCAGTATTTTAATTGCCCTATTTTCTTACTATTAAAGTTCGTTTTGGTGTGGCAAGAAAATAATAATGGACGCTCCTGAATAATTCGTGCCTGTAACCATTTCAGGATTGTCTCGTAAATTCCATCCAGTGACAGTGTCTGTAGGCTTTTAGACAAGACGTCTGAATAGACTAGATCTAGATTCTAGATACAATGTTTAGGTATATAATAATATGATTATATATTTTTGCTTTAAATGAAAACTTTCTTTTACTCTATAATCTTTACAAATGTTACGTTAAACGCAATACTAAAATAAAATGAAAGTGAACTTTTTTCAATTTAGTTTACTTTACAACTAGCTTTTGCCCGCGACTCCGTTCGCGTGGAAAAGCGGTTTTTTAGTATAAAAACTAGCCTATTATATATTTCTCAAGTTCCAAACGATGTCTGTACCAAATTTCACAGAAATCGGTTCAGTAGTTTAGCCGTAAAGAAAAGACAGACACACAGAGTTACTTTTGCATATATAATATTAGTTTGGATTGTAACTTTGGAGTGGTCGTGGTGGCCCGGAGGTTAAGGAGCCCGCTTCTCATGCATAAGGGTGCGGGTTCGAAACCTGGCAAGTACCAATGTGACTTTATCCGAGTTACATGTACTTTCTATGATTATTTAGACACCACTGACATACGGTGAAGGTAAACATCGTGAGGAAACCTGGACTTATTATTTCTAATTATAAGTTTGAAATCGCCAACCCGCATTGAGCAAGCGTGGTGATTAATGCTCTAACCTCCTCCGTATGAGAAGAGGCCTTTGCTCAGCAGTGGGCACTTATAGGCTGATGATGATGATGATGATTGTAACTTTAATTGTCGTCGAATTCTTTAATCGAGAATTTGTGTTTATTGTTTTTGTGTATCAAATTACCTAAGTATATTTTTTTGTGTGGATCTCTATAGACCCTTCTATTTACCACATTACAACACACAAGTCCACTGCTGAGCAAAAGCCTCTTTTTAAACGGAGTAAGTTTGATCATGATTGCTCACCACGCTTGCTGAACGCGAACTTATAATTAGAAAGTATAAGTCCATATTTCTTCACAATGTGTCTTCCTTCACTGTATGTCAGTGATGTCGGAACCTTATAAAGTTCATATAAACTTGGATAAGGTCAGATTGTTCTATGCCAGGTTAGAAACCGCACCCTTATCCATGAGAAGCGGGCGCCGTAGAAGAGACATTAGGAAGGGCTATTTTCCACAGTGGAATGTAATAATTCGTGTCGTGGTAGGTAATTGTAAAATAAAACTCAATTAATTATTTACATACATTTAATCATTGCCTATTATATCTATATAATAGCGACTTAACAAGATGAAATTTCATAGATTCTGAGAGCACAAAACATTTGACTAGATCAATATATCATATTATAATTATAATATATATTAAACATTTTAAATAGAAACGTAATTATAAAATACAACGGTAAAATTACTATCAATTTGTAAGGGCCACTACAGACAAACACAGCGATTTCCACGTTGTCAATAGTACATAGTAAAATTTGGATTAAATAATTATTTTGTAGTGGCCTTCACTTTGAAAGAGTAACAACAATATTAGTAATTTATAATTTAAAAAACAAAGCTATACAATAGTTTTAAAAGATAACGTTATAGATGTCGTAATTCGGATAAAACCGGCGAGAAAATCCAAGATTCATTAGATATGGCTACTAGATATGCTATATAATAATGCGTGAATATTATTCATTCGTTGTTATTATAATATAGTAGTATCTAAAGATTGAAAAGTTCTAGTAAACTTGAGCCTTAGTAATAAAAAGTGAATTTGAAATTGTTCCACTATTAGAGAGAAATATGAAGGTTATTTATAATTTTTAATTATTATTATTATTTCTATATTGAACACATACACACGTAAAATGAAAATTTTGATACCTCTGATCCACGGACGAGTGTACTTGACGAAACTCCAAACTAAACCTATCTTTTATCGGTCCACTGTGACCGCAAGCGATATCTATTAGGTTCTTGTGAAACTAGTCACGATACTTAAACTAGGTTCGTTATCCATTGAACTTTTCTTAACAAGCAGCTGGCACGGTCTCAGTTGCGACTCGTGAATGGATCAAAGGCTGTTAGATATTGACACATAAAAGGGGTCACGTACGGGCTTCCGAAGCTGGGGATAGCCTAGCCTCCGCTGCGATTACTAAAGCGGCCGTGAGAAAGACCCGTTGAAGCCGAACCTTGTCGTGATTACATCTATTTTAATCCATGGAATGTTAGACGGTTTGTCTGTGAAATATCTTCATTTCTCCTCTTGTCTCGTGGTGCACGTGGCGTGCTGTGAACTTTGTGCTTAGAAGCTAGTTCTGCCAAATATAAAGTTGCCGGGAGCGTTAGGATCCTCGGTGGAGAAGTACTCCTTCCATAGCTCCTGGAACTCCTCCCACGAGACGCTGCTCTTGCCCTGTTAAATAACACATTTTGTAAATACACACGTTGATTTTTTTGACAAACAATCCAAATAATATCTGGCTTGCTGTCGTGATATCTTTTTGAATCCTGTTTAGATTTCAACGTCAAAAATAACGTTTGAATTGAATCCTAAAAATAATTTCGTTCACATGAATTGTTTGTAAAACCCGTGACTACGGTCAATGGCAGAAAATCCAAACATCACTATGTCAAAATCAAAAAAAGTTGAGAGAGAAATCATTTGATCTACTTATAAATTCTCACTCAGACGTAAACAAGTCAGTTCTATAAATGAAAAGTAAACAGTTAAATTCGAAATTCGCTGTTGACAATCAAACAAAGGAATGCTGCAATCGAAATTCGAATTAAGCAGGAATTTGTATTTTACCCCAATTTCATTGGTCGGCACAAAAAGTGGCGACCAATAAAATTCAAATGATGCAAAAATGGGATGACAAATAAACCAATCAAATAAATTTATTGTAAAAAGTGTGAATATTTAACTACTATAAAATGTAATGGACAATTGTAATGGAAATCGGAATACAATTTGAATTGAGCGTTCTGTGCGATTTCATAAATCGATGTACATTATTCATACTTCGATGAAACGAGGGAAATCTGATTTTTAAGCATGCACGAGAACGTTTCTGCTCGATTTGCTTTTATTTAAAAAATGAATGTCAATTGTTCTACAAAGCAATTTTTCTCAGCTAACACAGGAAGGGATTGATTGCAGGGAGTGACACCACGGCTTCACAGAAAACCGGTGTTAAACAACCACAGCGTTGTGTTTCGCCATGTGACTGAGGTCACTGGAGCCCCAATTTTCCCCTGCCCCAATCACTAAAACTCCTAATTCCTAATCCCCAAAAGGTCGACAACGTCCTCATAATTCCTCTGTTATTGCGGGTGTCTATAGGCGGCGCAGATTGCTTACCATCAGGTAATGCATCGACTCGTTTGCCAATGTGTGCTACCTATTACATAAGAAAAACACAGGAAAGAATAAAACGTATAAGAACTAAAACAATCAAAGGTTTTATTTATCAAGGTAGAACGTCAGGAAGCACCTACCGAGATTTAAATTAGAACCAACTTCACCTAATAACAAGCCAAAAATGGTCTTCCACAAAGCTTACATTTTCAAGGAAATAAAATCACGATAGATAAAAGCAACATAAAGAAAAACCCGACTCCTATTTGTCCTGGTAAGATAAAATTTCCTAATTAAACGAAGCTCAGAGAAAGGTCAGACAATGGCTATATAGATTTATGATGACCGCAGCCTCAAGAACTTTATTGCACCACTCTTGAAACCCTGAGCAAACTAATTAGAAATTGCCACCGACCGCATTTTTCTAGGCACTTTACGTAAGAAAATGTTAGCCAAATTACTTTTGAGTTTCTGAATAGTTATGCTAAGATTTGCATTTGGTAATAGGGTCCAATTATTATAACTAAGGAAATAGACTAGAGAAAATTAGAGAAATATTTTTTTGGTTTAACGTTGTTCCACATTAAGATTTTTACATCTGCCGTGCATCGCGCACAAATCACATCCAGACCTAGAAAAAATGTCTATTACACAAATAGTTGTTCCATGTAACAATCAGATGATCCATTGCAATCGTGCAGTCATGTCAGGTTGGCTGTACCCATTTTATCACAACATTTGGTTGAAACGAATGGCTGGCTAATGTATAAGACAGCTGCTTCCTATAACCAATACTTTTAACTAATTTGTATACATAAGCTGTGAGCCTACCTTATTATAATAAATATATAAATAAATGAAACTATAATTAACTTTTGTCATATATACCTTTAGGTACATAACCTAAAAGGTTAGGGAAAAGGCACTTTAGTACATCTTCATTACATCAATTAAGTCATGAACCGCAATGATGTTATAAGGGTAAGACGGAACCAAGATATTTTACGAACTAATACAGATAGATAGCTAGATACAAAAAGAGTTTTTATTGAATTATTCGTTCATAAAATCGAAGACCAATTTCATAAAGTAAAATGATTGTAATGATTTATAAGGAAAATTGGGATATCCGTTACCAATTACACACAATTTAAATTCGTTTAAAATATTCCTAAATATAATGGCCAAAATGTCTTTCAATTATTTTTAATAATTTGTTTGTTATTTTTTTAATATTTCCAGATATTTTGACGAAAAGAGATATTTTGAAGATATATTTTTTAAGTTTTATGCTTTAAAAATACGCTTTTAATTTAACAAGATGTATTCATGCTTTTGGCGATATTTTTAAGGATAATCATCATCCGACTCCGAAAACGCCGAAGTCCGACTGGCTTTTCTAGAAGTCACTGGGATAACCCTAAACCGAACAGTGGACTTCTTGCTGCTCATACAATGACGATGACAACGACGATAACCCTCCATCATTACCAGATCCTCTAGAACCTTCCAAAAAGCGATATCAGTAGAAACTTACCTTAGCCATCTTAGTAAAGGCCACCTTACACTCCTGAGGGTCGATCCCATAGGAGGAGCAGACGGTAGTGAACTCATCACTATCGATGGTGCCATCAGCACTGGCGTCTTCCAGTTGGAACATGAACTGAGCATACAGTTGCTGCCACTTAAGAGCAGCTGAAGGGTTCTGGGCGTAGTCGTTCCACATCGAAGTCCATTCTTCCACGGAAACCTGGTGAAGAAAGGGTGATTATAGAAGACCAAATGTATTTTTTAGGATTACACTTCTGATGATTAGTTTGTCAGTAGTTAGTCATTCAGTAGTACTTTTTACGTCAAATAGTTAAAAGACATCCATCAAATCCACCCACAGTCTTAAACATTTTTGCGTTTGTAATACTGATGAGACTAATTCAAAATGAAACGGAAAGGATTAAAAAAAAATCACCTGTTTTGTTACTGTTCGCAGTAACATTTCGCAGTTATGACTGAAAATGTGAATTTTGAAGACACATTTTTTATACCCCGTAATAACCATAAAGTCTCCAATTATATGCTACCCAAAATCTCTAGATAATTAAACCATAATACTCTTTTTATTTATTTGAGAAAACAACTCTTTGTCACTATTGTATCATTTCTAATTAGTAATAATAATTATTGTCACACTAGACCTGTCTATATCAGTGTCATCATATCACTATAAATAAAATGGCCGAGAGAGTGTCGGCCATTGACAATGTAACTCTGGTGCAGTGAGCTGCCCGACTGTGTACTGTGATATTAAAGTCAAGTATCCAAGATCCAAGTCTTTTAATCATATTACATGGTGTCAGAAGTGGGATTCGAATCCACGCACTCAAAGAGGTATACAAATACCTCTATGAAGTATACAAATGACACTTTTTGGTGGGAAACCTTATCCATATAATTGATAGTTACAACTTACTTTTAACGACACATCAAGCACGAACATAGCCCTATAATTTTGGGCCATTTCTGCTAAAAATTAAGGTATTCCTTCGAACAATAGTATACCAGATCGGTACACTCAATTTCAGGGAGGTTGCCTAATTAATTCAATTTGTTGGCAACGGTAGTGCTAATCTATTTACAAGTCAGTTCCGACCCCAATCTACTTGAGAAATGGCCAGGACAAAAGAAAATGGGTACAGATTTATTCATTACTGGTGATTAGGTCCAAGAGATACCAAGAGACGTAGAGATTTTAGAAACGAATTGAGATCATTAATAACTTCATTTGACAAATTTTTGGTGAGTAGAAGTGAGTAATAGTGAAAGCACCTTAATTTGAAATTTTAAAACTCATGTTTCTAAGTATACGTACTTCGATAAGAATTTCTTTGATAAATATTTTTTGTACCCTCTCATTAGTCCTATCTACATTCATCAACTGCTGATACCGATACATGTATAAATAATAGTTGACTTAACTTGAAGTTTATATTTAGCATATTATAGTTACGTCAGAAATAGCAATTAGGTACCAAACCTGTCAAAATTCAGAACCCTTAGCAAAACTTAGTGGGTTATAAGTACCCCTACAAATGACAACAATTGATGGTATTAGTTTACCCACATGAACTTCGAGAATGCTCTCGAGACTTGAAAGGGTTAAGTCGTGTGTGAAGTTTCTTTAGCTTTTTACGTCAAAAAGTTACCAAACTATAAAGTACTTTATTGCTAAGTTCTTTTAAGAAAAGTGCTTTTTGACATTTTCTGCTAAGTTATAATGTTACATTTTAGTTTTACAGGACCTATTTTTAAATAAAAATCTTAAAAGTCTCGAAGGAATTGATATAATTTATCAAAATAGGCAACTGCAAGTTAGTGATAAACTTTCTTGATTGCAAATTACTCTTCTGAAAACTTTGTATAAAACTAGCCTGCCCCCGCTTCGCACGGGTCCAACTATCTCGCTATCAAAGAGTCACTTTTCCTAATCTTCCCCTCTACTTTTCTAATATTTTCTACACATAACAAAAAAAGAATTATCAAAATTGGTCTAGGCGTTGTTGAGTTATGCGCTTACCAACACATTTTGAGATCCATTTTTAAATATAAGAGAAGATTGAGAACCCCAGTAACAGACAAACTCAGAACTACAGCATTTATATTCTACCAACAAACTAATATTAGTAAACCCTTTTTCAATTAACATTTTCCTCGACCATTAACTAAACGTAATAACAGTAAAAATTACACGTAAACAGAACAGCAATTCAAATCTAAAACAAGCTGCAATAAAAATATTTCTCACTAATTCGATAACTATGCTCATAGTCTTTGCAGTTTGAGGAAAATCGCGTCTAAAATTCACGTTGAACTAAAATGTTTATGTGTCTACATCAAATACTAACTCATCATAAGAATCCCGTAAATCATGTTCCCCTTCGCCCGAGCTAAAATTACAAGATTTATGATCGTTCACAGCTCTCGATATTAAACCGTTACGGGTTTAGACCTCCAAAATTATGGGTTCAGCCATTTACATTCTCCATAATTTCGTGAGAATAGCATTGTATCATGCTTGTAAACTCCTGAGAATTAAGGTTGGTAAATAGTTACGCGTATTTTTCTTTGAGTATCGTTATCAAGTAAATGATTAAAAGCTGACACTTTTTTATAATTCGCTTTAATAAATTATATGCCTAACAATCCCTTGTTCGACCTTGACATCTGATTGACTATCTATCAACAACAAAATATGCTTCCACGTTTATATAAGTATTTAAAAAGATAACATACAAAACTCTTTTATAGAGGTGAGAAACATTCAAAATAAAAAACAATACTTGCGAAGGATGGAGCAAAGAGGAGTTTAAACTACCTAGAATTATAGATTCGATTTAATACGTACCTATTCCATAATCACATTAAACAAAGCTTAGATTACACAGAAATGATGCGTGACTCAATTCATTTAAAAATCCAAGGGCCCAACGAGAACAAAAAGTAAATTACGAAGCAGAAATCCTAATAAAAACCTAGAGGTGGGTAACAATGCTTGAAAAAAATGGCTTTATAATTAAGCGGTGCCACTTTTGACTTAAGCCAGGCGATGTAGGGTTAATAATGATGATTGGAATATTTTAGCGTCATTATTTATGTTCCTTTTTTGAAATTTTGAAGGTCGTGAGTCTTTATGAACATATTTGTTACAAGAACAGATTAAATAAAATTGTGTTGTTTTTTAGTTTCTCCCTAGCTAATTATGCTCTAAATGATTTAGCAATTGGCCTCACAATGTCATCTAATACAGACGGCAAAAACTAAATTATTCTAAAACAACACCAATATAAATTTACATCAGAAAAACAGAAAGAAAAAGAATAATTATCATAGCAAAAGGTTTTACTAAAAAAAAAAAAAAAAAATTGAAGATTTTTCAGAAAATTGAATGTTCAGGCTATAACAACAGAAAATTTAATAAAGAGATCTTCGTTATTTTAAGATATTGCCCTGCCTTGTGCGAGGGGCCACTTTGTTTTTATGGAGCACTGCTTCATACTAATGGGAGGCAAACGTTTATATACTATCCTCTAAACTTGTGTTAATATAAACGAGAAATCATGGAACCTTAGGGCCAGACTAGGAACCAGTACAGATTAGTACAGGTATGATTAAGCATAGCACTAGTAATATTTGGTTTATAGTAACTGTGTTTACATGTATTTTATCTATTACAATATACTTGTTAAAAAGCAACAATTTAACAAAGAATTCCCTGAATAGCGATGTATACATAACACATGTCAAGAATGAGGAAAAATATTCAAGACCTTGGAGTTTATAACGTAAACTTATCATTAGATCTGTTTTTCTTCGAAAGATTAGGCTGTGATGTATATTTAGCTATTTTATTATGGTTTCTTGTTAACAGAACTATAATAGGCCATCAATTACCGTTACAAAAACTGTTCTGTTAATGATAATTTAAATTTAGAATGATGTTATGGATTGAGAAAAATATAATACTCAGGGACTTTATAAGAAGCATAATGAGCCGAAACATTTTTTTTTTCTATGTATTGTATAGACGTGGCGAAACTTAATAAAAGGCATGTGCACAGCTATGACATTTAAAACCTAGCATATCACATAATGGTCTTTTTAATAATAATATGTCTTCAATAAAAATAATCGGAACGTTCGCGTTGTGTTAATTTGTTGATATTTAGCGTTTGATGTTAGAACTCTTTTTTTAAGTAATTAGCTCCTTTGTTGCATGAAATAATAGATGTAATTATCAAGATAAGTAAATAAATGAAAATTGATAATGCCAACTTCAGAACCAACCACCAAACAAGACAATCTCAAATCAAGGCCAAAAACATAAATAGGATTAGAGAAAGCCGTTAACAGACAAGTGATAAAAAAGGCAATTTACAAAGAAAAACAATTTTAACTTGAGATTCCGTTCATTTAGTTTGGCAGCCTGCTTTCCATTTTGATGAGCTCAAAATGGATAAAATGGGCACTAGCAAAGAAAATAATCGAGCTCGAAGCATTCTCTTGAGTATTTGCAAAGCCTCGAGAAAATTTCCAGTACAAAGTGTGTCTAAAATATTTTCGCTTGTTTTTTTTGCCCTTTAAACAGAAATGTAGATTGGAGTTGGCACTGAATTTATCAAAGTCAAGAATATAAGGCAAATTAATTTTGTTGATACAGCAGAAAATTAGTAAAAATCCCTACATAAAATTATATCGGTTACCTTTCATAATTTTCTGTGTGTTTGTGACCCGTATTTAACATTTTAATTGATACTACTTATAACGATATGTTTGATTGCATTGTGACTTGTGAGATTTTGAGAATTGGTAGCTTTTCATAAAGTTAAGTATGAGTTTAGGTGTTTTTTAGAGAACTACCTTATTTATCGTTTCCCATTGAAACATGTCTTGTCTCATGCCCATCACCAACAACATCTGTAAAATTTACCTGTCCATCTTTGTTGGAGTCAGCTCTCTTCCGGAGTCCATCCCAGATCTTGATCATGATCTCGTGTGTCTCCGTGTTCTTGGGGTCTCCGGGCTTCCATCCTCGGAGGTGGCAGATTTTCTACAGAACGAAACAAAATAGTGTTAGTCATAAATTATATATTACAGCAAACATTATTGTATCTACAACTCTACTAGAAAAAGGGAAAAAATCACACAACTATAAATCCAAAATCTTTACTCATATACTAATAATTATTTATTTCCAAGAGTTTGGAAATCGAAAAGTCCTACAATACTGTTTTTGACACAAGAATCGAGCCCAAAAAGGTACTAGTAAATGTGCATAAAGTTTAATTGCCGCTAAGCCAAAAAATAACAATAATCTACTGAACGTTAATATTGCAACAGCACCAACAAACATTAGTATCATGCCTCTATCCAGAACCAACATATCTCACCGATTACCGCTTGATTAATGTTCATATCGAGATGAATGATGTGAAAATTATTGCTATTAACGTCTCCATACTTAAGCTACCAATCAATATGTCCGTCGATATTGAAGCCAAACTAATCGATTATGGCCAAATTCATATCGAATCCAATCAATCATTGGTGGCGCACTTAACGTTTTTTAAAATGGTGAACCGGATAGAGTTAAATATAGAAATGTCTGACCTAGTTAGTATCTGTTTGGGCTTTTAACTGGTATTGGATGTAACATTGGAACAGTGGTTATATAATATCAATATCACCAATGTTATGATGGGTTTTATAATGAGATTACTTGGTATATTTTAATATGTTGATAAATTTTGTAAAGTTGTATATTAATGTTAGCAGTTTTGAATAACTAACAGAATGACAGACAAGGGGATTGAGTAACTACATTCAAAAAAATATGCGCTGAAAATTCTTCTTGATCTTTGATAATCATCGGCATTGTTATTGGAGAGGCCTATGTTGAGCAGTGGACGGAAAGGTTTTATTGATACTTTTCATCAAATATTATTTATTTATATTTATTAGAACCACCAGTAGTTATTACAACACATAAATGTATGGTTAACAATTATTAAGTTTCAAGCTAGTTGCATAACATATTAAGGTAGCTACAGCGTACAATTAAAAGAGAGCGTAATGACAGTGATATATTATTTGAAATTGTAATAAAAATTTTCAAGTATCTACTTACTTATTGCATGAAATAGAAAAAAAACAATGTGTCACTCTTGTTTGTTTACTATAGTCTATAATGCGTCTCCTATGCATGTCTGTGCTGTGTTTTCTATTAGTTTGAAAGTTTTAAAACTTGTAACAAGCCAACCCAACTGTACATAACTCCTATCATCGTGCTCATAAATCTAAGGAACGTAACATTCGCTTGGTAAACTACACACACACACTTGCACCTGTGTACCTAAGCAATATCTTTGGTTGAATCTCGAAACCTATAATGAATGTGTATTGGCAATCGAGAAACAATAGGAATCGATTATTTGGCATCACGATACGGAGAAACGATTCAAATCGTGGGTAAGAAAATCGAAAATAGTTTTTCTTTGATTATTTGAGAATAAAAGAGACACGTAATGCTCTGAGGAATCAGTTTTTTTTCTAAATTGGCCATTTTTTCTTAGGTGGTCTACAACTGCACACAGCAATTTTTCAGTTAGTCTAGTAGGCTAGTTTTATTTTTATAGTTAGAGTCTGAGTTGCGATAAAGTAGCCAAGTTAAAGGGAGATTTTTTTTACTATCATCAGATTACTCAAAAGAGTACATAATACATTTATAGACAAAATTCTTGCCTTGTGTATTACGAAAATTAATATAAAAACTTATGACAGAACAAAAAATTACAAACACAAATCTATTTAGAATAACTTACATCAATAGCCAGCTCAAAATCTTTCCTTTCTATCGTGCCGCTCTGATTGACATCTGAAAAAAGAGAAAAGTTTTAACAAGGCCTATAAAAATCCCTCCCCCTTCTTAAAACTTTAAGGAACATTCTTTTATATTACTTTACCGAAGAAAACGTTAAAGACGTAGAGGAGCTTCTTTCGTCGGAACTCGGAGATGGACATGGTTAATCTGTAACAATGAAAAAAATATTAATTAATTTATATAGTAACGGTTAAGCTCGCCGTTCGACCAGAACCAGACTCGAGTTTATGGTGCAGTGCGTTGCGCCGCGCGCGCGCTTCAGAGAGGCCGCCCATGGACACCCAAGACATCAAAGAAGTTAAAAGTGCGTTGCCGGTCTTTTGGGAATAGGGGTAGGGGAGGGATTGGGCCTCCGATAACCTCACTCACACGGCGAAACACAACGCTGTGGTTGTTTCACGCCGGTACTCTGTGAGGTCGTGGTATCACTCTGGTCGAGCCGACCCATTCGTTCCAAAGTTTGCCTCTCCCACGCTTAAATAATAACTAACTAACTAACTTTATAATAACTTAGTACACAAAAATGGTCGAAAATCCAATTACCTATGCAATAAAAACCACTGGGCAAAAGCTTAAGTGTGCTGTGCTGTGTTTTCTATTAGTTTGAAAGTTTAAAATCTTGTAACAAACCAAACCAACTTTACATAACTCCTATCATTGTACTCATAAATCTAAGGAACGTAACATTCGCTTGGTAAACTAACTAACTAACTTTAAGCTTTTAGATCTAGTATAAATATAAAACTATTCTATTGTTATATTTAAAAAAATACGTACAAATAAACAATAAACATTCCTATTAAACGATTGTTCAATAGCGCATAGCACTCCAATTGGTAGAAATAATGGTCCTTTGAGCCTCATTCGAATGTTCAAGCCTTTGGAAGCTGTCCAAAAACGTAACTAGAACACGATCATTAAGTATCTATTTTTCGTTTTGTATTTCTATTTGATTATTTTTTTATAAAGGTAAATGTTATGTAAGTAACTTTATTAGAAATTTATTATTTCTTTCATTTTTATAAACTAAAGTTGTCCCACACTAGAATTTTCTCCTGTTTCGTGGGCGCGTTTATAAACATTCAATTTCACATACACACCACAACTAGACCCGGAAAAACAAGTTGTCGATCACACAAAGAGTTGTTCTGTGCGGGAATCGGCTGGGGAAACCCGTGACACAATGCTCGGCAGCCAGTTGCCCAGCCCTCACGCCAACTGTCATCAACATAAATAAAGAAGGTAATAGATAATTTGTCAAAATAGTTTTTTTATGTGGTGTGACGGTAAATGAGCTACCGGATTACCTGATGGTAAGCGAATAGGCAGCGCTGTTAATGGATAACCGCAGCAACGGAGGAGTTATGAGTACGTTGCCGACCGTTTGGGATAATGATTTCGGAATTTTTTGAGATAGAGCCTCCAGTAACCTAACACATGGCGAAACACAATGCAAAAAAATACAACCACAGTATTGGAAACTTGACTCTCGAAACGAAGTTTGCTATCTTCACTATCAGAACCTATTCATAGTCCTCGACTACATGATTAACTTACCTGCCATATAACATAAATTCTGGACCGGAATTAGCTGGAAGTGGGTTGAATTAACTACGGACCCGCATCACAATGACGGACGGGAGACCCCAACGATGGACAAAACCAATAAAACCTTAATGAATGACATTTCAGAATTGGACTCATTTTACCCCTGATGTATTTCGAAAATTAGGTCTCTGGATTTAGGCCGTCTAAAACCGTACCTATTTGAATGATGGTTACAATTTCTTTGGGCTACTTTTTGAGGAACGAATTAGGTCGTGGTGGTTTCTCATGCATGAGTTTTCTCATGGGTTCGAAACTTTTTTAAGCTGTGTGTACTTAGTGGATTTTGACACCACTGACGAATGGTAAAAGGAATACTCTCGACTTTCTTGTTTCCAATTATAAGTTTGAAATCACCAATTTGCCTCGAAAAAAGCATGGTGATTAATGTTCAAACCTTCACCGTGCGAGAAGAGGCCTTTGCTCAGCAGAGCGCACTTATAGGGCTTTGATGAGATGTGTGTACCTATTTAAATATTGGTTACAATTTTCTTGAGCTGCTTTTAAAATAAGATCTTATCAACATTAATATAAGTATTAGAGATGCATTTATTATGTAGTTTAGTTTTGTCTGAAGGTGGAATATTAACGAATATCTTCTGGGCCGAGATGAAGTTTCAGACTCTTGAATAAACCATCCCGTTCTCTCTATCTTCTGCTCCAGGCCAGGACCGCAATACATTTTTGCGCTAGCACCACTTTGATTCTGAAGTCTATTGGACACACTGCCAGAAAGAACAATGATAACTTGAATAAGGAACTGATCACTGGCAGAGTGGAAGGAAAGTACCTACATAATATTAAAACATAGCCTTCTGTTTATTTCAAAAAAAAAAAAAATAAATATAAACATAATCACACACTCTATGATTATACGATTGGCAAATTAGCTGGATCATGAACAGTTGATGTGAAATCTGCTGTGGATTCAATCCTTTGTGGTGTTTACAAATGTGTAAGTGAAATTATGTGTTCAAATCGTAAAACGTAATTACAGTCTGGACTCGTTTTAATCAGTTGACGAAATTGATTCAGATAATGTTCGACAAATCACTATATACCTAAGTATAAAATAAAGTCACTGTTGAAGCTCTTTCGGGTTACTTTCAATGAAACAGGAGACTGCACATGATCAGCCGAGTGTGTGTGAAGAAAGAAGGGCGGCGTTCGCGCGGCCGTGAGTTTTATAGACCCTCGCCTTCTCCTACCAATATCATAGATCATAGATCCATGGCCATAGTAATGCGCCGACAGCCACTTTCTCTGTCCCTATATCCCTATGTATGCTTAAATTTTTAAAACTTCGCAACGGATTTCGATGCAGTTTTTTAATAGATAAAGTGATTGAAGAAGAAGGTTTATATGTATAATAACGTCCATTAAATAGTAGAGTTTAGTATTAACATTGCACCCGTTCGAAGACAGGGGTCGCTAGTATTTAATAAACTAATAGAATCATTATTTACAAATGATAACAACATATAATACTAAATCACTTGAGTCTATTAAATACCTCTATTTCAGGGTCCACCCCATAACTTGTGCTAATGAAGGTCCAAAATTAGGACCTTAGGACCGTTAAATAAGATCGGATCTTTTGATAACGAAGTTTATATATCCAGTTTTGTTTTATTGAGACATTTTTGGTAGACAAACTTATGCCACATAATCCAAACTAATATTATAAATGCGAAAGTAACCCTGTCTGTCTGTCTGTCTTTTCTTCACGCTTGAACTACTAAACCTATTTGTGTGGATTTGGTACAGACATAGTTTCAAACTCTAGAAAGGACATAGGATAGTTTTTCAACCAAAAATTCTTCGCCACATCTAGGCGAGGAAAAGTCATAAGTTGGTACAAAGAACTTTTCATTGTTAACTTAATAAAAAAAAGAAACTTTGATTGCCAACAAAAACTGTTGATGGCTAGCATAAGCTGTCCCCTGCCAGCGTCAGACACCATTTTCTAAAATGGCGTTCAATGTGCTAACATTATTTTGTTTTTATTTTTCTAATTTCGTACATATTATATATATGTCACGATGCAATTTTTTACTTTTAGTCTTTCTAATTTAAAAAAAAATGTGTAAATTTAGAAAAAAATGACTTTTATTGTAATCTAAATCACAATCCTGTTCGATTTGTTATTGGATTTATAAATGGAGTTCAATATTAAATTAGAATGATTTTTTAGGGTTCGAATATTAAACCGTTCCATACTACTCGCCTATCTATATCACTAAATACCAATATCTATTTTATTTATGTTGCTTGCCATACTATAATCGGAAACTAGTCTATCGGGAGTTGTTTCGAATACAAATTAGATTACAATTTGGATAAAATTAGTATAGATAATACTAACATACACAGAATTACATGTTTAAATATTAGTGTGTTCAGATAATGAACGGATGCCCAATCCTTCCCTTCCCCAATCCCTAACTCTCCCAAATCCCTAACCCCCAAAAGGTCGGCAACGCACTTGTAACTTCTCTGTTGTTGCGGGTGTCTATGTGCGGTGCTGATTGCTTACCATCAGGTAATCTGTCTGCTCGTTTGCCGACCTATCATGTAAAAAAATAAGTATCTAGTTGCGAAAATCGAGCTGATCTGAAATTTTACAACTCTCTTAACTTAGAAACTTGACAAATTACTAGTTAATATGATTATCTAATGAACCCCAAATGTTTAGTAAGCGCATAGCTTAAAAACGCCTGGACCAATTTTGACAAATTTTGTATTTGTTACTGTATTGGGACGAGATGAAAGGACAAAAAAAATGGGGCTATAATAGTATCCCTTTAGAATATTGACCGCTGTAGTAGATTTCTAAAAAACAAATGACTATGTACATCGCTACTACAAATCTATACTAATATTACAAAGAGGTAAAATTTGTAAGTTTGTAAGTTTGTATGTAGGGGGTAATCTTTGGAACCGCTGCTCGGATTGCCAAAATTCTTTCACTGATGGATAGCTACAACGTTCCTGAGTGCTATAGGCTATAAAACTATCACGCTACGATTAAATGGAGCTGAGCAGCGGGTGAAACCGCGCGATAGTAGCTAGTAGGCTATAAAACATCACGCTATGATTAAATGGAGCCAAGTAGCGGGTGAAACCGCGCGAGAGTAGCTAGTTATACATATACATAAAAACCCATATCCTCGTTCCTCATTAGAACAAAAGTTTCTGGGTGTACCCTAAAGTTGTTAGGGACATGTATGGGTGAGGCTCGATAGATTTGTAACACATGGTGCCTGCAATAACACAAGATATTGATGCCGTTGACTCACTCGTAACTAGGTACCTACAAGCATGATATGTAAGGTTTTTAAGAAACTATGTAGGTATATATAGATCTAATGCGTAAGTGGTTGTGGTAGAATATAGTGGGAAAAGAAATTGAATTCGAAATTGAGTCACGATATAGTTTACATGTGATATTTTTACTATGTAAAAAGAAATACATTGTTTTTAGGAAAAAGACGTGAATAGAAAAAAGGGTAAAACAGATTGAAATTGAAATTAAAAGTATA